AACTCTGCTGCTCTGACCTCTGAGCCAATTAACTTCAACCAAACATGACCGCTGGAGGAGAAAAGATTTTAGTGAAATTATGGAAACTAAAAAAGTGGAAAGTTTCCAACAGATGTGAGCATGAACCATCTGACCTCACTGATCATCTGATTGATGGAGGAAAAGGTTTTTCTGCACTGTGACTCTTGATTTATTTAGTCCTCTTTGATATATAAGAAATGTATCTGCTGGAAATCTCTCTATGGGTTTAACCTCAGGATGTAATGCTGTATCTGAGAATAGATTTAAACTGCCAGGAGCCAATGACTGCATTGCTGCCTCCAGGATCAGCTGTCCTTTGGGACCTCTGGACATTATCTATAAGACAAGCTGAGAGGAGAAACGGCATGACCCAACGATGAGACGCTGAAGCAGCAGGTAGGAGCCTAACTCTGATTTTGGTTCTTTAAGCACTGCTGCTCTATGAATGTTTTCTTATCACTGGAAAAATGACCTAGAAATAAGTAAAAAGTTCTTGAATTAAGTGTATTTACCCTTAATTTGAGTAGGTAAATGAGAATGGAATTTGTATTTTTACTCTTAAAATTAGATATTAGTTAAAAGGCACTGGAAATAAGACAATGCAATTGTGTTTTCTTATTTTAAGTGTAAATAGTCTTGTTCCATTGGCTAAATGTCTCTTTTACCTCCTCAATTCAAGAACAAATTCACTTATTTTAGGAAAAAATGACTTATCTAGATTTTTTCCAGTGTAGCCATCACCATTTAGTTAGTGACTACATATGCTAAACACTTTAGTTACTCCATGTTTATCCTAGCGTTTAATGTCATGTGAAACTTGAAGTCCAACTGAGCAAGCACTTGAAATGTATTTAAAGGAATCATCCAGCTCCTGCAGACCCAGTAAAAGTGTGTGGTGGTTTAATTATCTGTCCACTGGTTGTTTTTCTCTCATAACTTCCATATTATTTATGGATTCAGATTGTATTCAGACTCATGCAATTCTTGAGGATTTTAATCTTATCCTACTTAAACTCTTAAGTTGGTTTCTACATACTTGTAACTATTTGCTGATGAGGATTTTTTAAATAAAGAGATATATGAACGAAAATTGAAGTCAATCTTACTGCATGTTTTTTCTTGATTTTTTCAGTTATGATTTCTATTAAATGTTGGAGTTTGATAAATTCTTTGATAGTTTCTTGATGATTGTGGTTATTTCTTTCAGTCCTTGGTTTGGATCCTTTGTGCAGCCCTTTAATGTTAAAGATGTTCTGCAAACTGGTCCAAAATACATACAAAATGGATCAAATGTACTGATCAGTTCATAATGAATGAAATTGCAAATAATGAGCTCAGCTGCATAAAAAAAACCCCCATCAGAATAAGACAAGGATCTGGGTCCAAATCTTTGGTGATGATATGTTGATGGAAAAATCAGATTTTTAACAAATCCTGATCTATTCAGAGAGTTTGGCAATATAACATCACTGGTCTAAGAGTGAATAAAAACAAGGAAAGATGGATTTTGGCATCAGAATAATATGAGGAGAAACCTTTTCTTCTAAAATGTGTCTTAAAATAATAATTTTGTGGGTATTTAGATTACAGGTAAGCAAAAGGAAATACATTTCAATCTGGAAAGACTCATAAGGAAGCCAAACAACAATTAGAGTTTGATTGAAATCAGAAATATAGCCGTAGGAATTCAGGCCTTGCTGAAAGAATCAAGCACAGAGATATTATGATGTTATAATAGAGCAGATCAAGAGATACAGTATCTCCCCCCCCTAGGCCGGACACCGGTGCTGGAATGGAGGCTGAAGGAAGAAGAGAGTCAGAGGGAAAATTAGGATGATTTTGGAGATGGGTGCAGGATAGTTACAGTTTTATAAAGCAGGAAAATCATTGGACACTCTTTTTAAAGCTGAGTCTTGGATGATGTTGGTCAAGGCAGAGGCATGCAGAGGGCTGATGATACTGATGAGCTTGCAACAGCAGAGAGGGGCTGAATGAGATTCATTTTCAAATTAGAATTTTTGGTTAAGCCTTATAAGGAAATTATTTACCTTTATTTACCTTTAAAGAGAAAGCCAAATGCTTAGATGTTTTACATTTGGGAGAAGAATATGATTTTTGAAAAATCTAAATTCTTATATTATTTTATAATATTTTTAACAAAAACCTTTTTGTGTAATTTAAGGAGTCAGTGTTCCACCTTTCATTAAAAAAAAAAAGATCATGAATTAAATTCAGTATGTTACAAAGCCCAAAGAAATCCAGACAAATTGCTGAATGTAATTTGCCTTTTTTAATATTTGACTCTAAATAAAAAGGTGATCCTGTACCGGAAAAAATAAAACAGTTTTACCTTTTCTCTGTTACATGGAGGAGAAGCTGTTCTTATGCCCGATCTTTCTACAGCACCTGTTGATGGATCTAAATTAGAACGTTGGTGCAACGGAGAAGGAAAGCTTTGACTAATTTAAAAAATAAAGCTCCCCTCATATTTTGTATTTTATTTTTAGCAGAGACAGCGTTGCTGGCAGTGTGAAAACGAAACTGCCAGGATAAATAGAAACCAGCAGAAGTGAGAAACATTTAATGTTCTTTTTTTTTTATTTAAATGCAAACAGCAAACACAGGAAATGCTCAATTTTCTTTTCACTTTCTACTTTGGTGTGTCACCCTCTTTTTCCCCATTATTCAATTATTTGTGTTTCAGTTGGTCTTTTTCAGCCAAAAATCTAAAGACAAAATATCAATGAATTAATTAAAGCAAATGTGATAAACATACAAATATATATCAAAAACACATTTCTAATTTCTCATGTTTCACAACAAATTATTATTTCTGTAGCTTAGAATGCTTTTGTCTCTTTATTTTTACTGAACTTTCAGAAATAATAAGCTTTTCTCAGTTGAAAATCTAATTATTCAGATTTAATGTCACCTTCATAGCTTTAAACTTTTCCTTTATTTTTAACTAAATGAAATTTTATTAGGTACTGTCTTGATCATTTCTGTCTTGTTAAACTTTGGTAGAAACATTTCAAACTCATTGAAAAATTACAGCAAAAAACACCAAATTAATAGCGTCTCCGCTGATCAATCTTAACCTTATGACAAGCAGAAACAAAAAAAAGATGACTATGATTATGAGATTTTTACAGAATCAACCAGGAATATTTCTCTGAAAGATTCTCCGATTATATTCATTACATGTATTTTTATGTGGTGTGAGGACTGAAAAACTAAGGTAGCAGATTTGGTTCATCAAAGGGCCTGTTTCTTGAGGCTACTTATGCAAAGATACCAATACCTTATCCTCCTCGTCCTCCACTAGTTCCTGCAGATCATCCTCTTCCATGGGATCTGTGAAATATTCTATACTCATAAAATCTTTTTTTGATGGGTCAATCCTTTGGATATTAAGATCATTCCAGTCTGAGCTTCACCACCTTGGAAGGAGCCCTGTCGGGTAATTCAAGAATATGGTTCTTGCAGTTATCATCCACAGATCCTGAGCACTTAGGAAGGGTACAAACATAGATAGGTGAAAAACTAAAGCTCACCATCTCCCAAGCACAGCTGCTTACTTTAGTAGAATCCACAACAGCTGAACCAATGACGATCTCTCTTTGAATATTAGGGAATCCAGACCTCCCCTGTGAACTTTGTAAAATTATTGGTATAAAATATATATTGTCAAACTTCATAAATTTAGTCATTAACCTGTATTAAATATGTGCTCAAATGCACATGATTTCATGAGTATGTTGTGCATTAATCAGCTGTTAAGTCCGCTCTGGTACACAATCTCCGCACTTCTCCGGAGCAACTGGAGGCTTCCTGTGAGTCTTTAATAACCGTTTCCCACTGGCTGGAAAAAACAGTTTAAACCCTAGAACAATCAGCTTTTAGTGTATTGGGAACAGCTCACTGACCCAAGTCTAGACAGGTGAAACGACTCTGCAAGCTACGCCTGCAGAGTACAGTATGTATGTGTGGGAACTTTAGAGCCGGGTTGACCCGCTAATTTATGTAATACTACTGAGCGCAAAGTACGAAAGTCAAAACACCACGCCAGTCGCGTCTGATATAACAAGCCAAAACAACTTCGCTTGCAACTTACAACTTAGATAAACATGGCGCAGCACTAATAAGAGGGATTGAGACAGATAAAAGAGCAAAATAATAACGCACACTTACTATGCCCTGGCTTCCCTACATGTTGCTCTCCATTGTTTACTTTCCTGATTTCAGTCGCACTGGTAACATTAATGCTAACTCAGTGTGATGGTGTCACCAGACATGCAGCAGTAGGGCAACATAGGCCATGCAGCTTGCAAGGTAGTGGTCAGACCCAGCTTTGTTTGCCAATGGGAAAGGGGGATCATTCAGTCAGAGGAGACATAATAATGTGCTGAACTATTTTTGTGGTATCTGGAGTTTATTATTTCAGAGCGCTTCACAACAGCTACTTTCACCCACTGTATTGATGTGTTTTATGTGTTTCAACAACAATACAAACCGTGATGTTTGGATTTAATTAACCCCATTGAGCCTCAAGTGTTTCAGAGAGCAGCAGCCGCAACTGAGCTGAATCAGTGTACCACCAGAGGGGTTTAAGCTGTTTTATACATAAAAAAAAGCTCTGTGGGGAGCCTAAGGATATATTCATGAAATGTCACAGGAAAAAAATAGGCAAACCATCAGAGGGGAGAAAGATACACATATGCATTTACTTTGCAAATGAGCAAATGTAGCCATATTTAGTATAAAGCCAAGTACAGGGCTGCAGTAGGGTGTCGCTAATATCATTAATAGTAATTGTGTAATAAGCAATAGGATGTACATGAACCATCCTAGCTGGTGGTTTAACAGCAATGTCTAAAAAAAAGTTATGAGGAGTCAACAGAACAAAGGATGCTGAGTTAAAGTCTGGTTCCCATTGAGATACTTATCTGTCCATCCTGTGCTTATTTCCAGGTGAGACAGCGCCATGATTGAAACTCCATTAATCAGAAACCGATCCCACACCACCCTTCAGTTCAGATGTTTTCCTGAGCTAAGAGAGTACCACTGGATCCTGGCACTTCTGTCCTCTCTTTGCTTCCTGTCTGTGCTGCTAGGAAACTCAGTGCTGGTGTATGTTATCCGCAGGGTGCAGCATCTATACAGCCCCATGTACTTCCTCATCTGCATGCTGTGCGTTGTAGACATTCTAGTGGTCACCACCATCCTCCCCAACATGCTTTTCACCCTGCTCTTCAACTGGAACCGCATTTCGCTGGTTGGCTGCCTCATCCAGATGTTCTTCACACACTTCCTCTCCTCCCTGGAGTCCACTCTGCTGCTGGCGATGGCGCTGGACCGCTATGTGGCCATCTGCAAGCCGTTGCGCTACACAGACATCATGAATTTGTCCATGTTCCTAAAGATGCTTTTCTTCACTCTCTTGCGCAGCCTCTCCATCATGTCAACATTAGTGGTTCTTGCCAGTTCTCTTTGGTTCTGCAGCTCCAACTCCATTCAGCACTGTTACTGTGACCACATGGCGCTGGTCAGCCTGGCATGTGGCAGTACAGAAAAGAACAATGCAGCTGGATTGGCGGTGATCATCTGTTTCGTTGGTGTGGACATCCCTATTATCTTCTTCTCCTACATGAAGATCCTGAAGGTCGTGCTTCGCGCTGCAGCGGGTAGTGAGGCCCGTCTGAAGGCAATTCACACCTGCAGCACCCATCTGATGGTTATGATGTGTTTCTACCTGGTGGGCACCATCAGCTTCTTGTCCCACAACCTTAACCTTCCCTTAGAGACAGGCATCAATACCCTTATGGGTGTGATGTACATCCTGATCCCAGCAACGGTCAATCCCATCATCTATGGAGTTCGCACCAAAGAGATCCGTCATGGTCTTCAGAGGCTGTTTAAACTCAGGGAAAAAAAGATCCTGACTTTAAAAATTTCCCCGTCTGGAAAAGGACAAGCATGATGGACAGAGGAGTTAGGTCAAAAACGTTATTGATAATTGAGTCTATCCCTTTAGATGCAATGAGATAAACCTCTGGCTTTAAGAGGTTTAACTTCAATAATTCCCCTCTTACATTCCCAAAAGTGTTTGCTAATCTGCCTTTACATGCACATGAACTTGACTGACACACTTTCAACACATAGGGACTATGATTTCATATCAAACTTTTCAACGATAATAGTTTTGGAAAAGTTTTAAAAAAGCCTTGGATTGTGTTTATGGAAATGTTTGACCATTTTTCCAAAAGCAAAAAATGTCTGGCTTACTGTCTTTATATTAATTTAACTCAGAGTTGTTGTTTTTTTTTATGTTGAGGTAACCTGGGCAATTTCTTTGTAATCAAAAATATTTATCCATGACCTCACTTGCACTAAAACTGAACTGAACTGAAAAGTTGAACTGAACTGAACTACTTGTGTACTGTTGCAGATGTATCCTGATCAGCCAGACATACTTGTATGTCTCTTTCAGGACATGATAAAAATAATTATTTTAAAAAATGCAGCTGCAGTCCTGACTGTTATTACAAAAAGGCACTATTGCATTTGGGCCGCTCTTATTTATACTGGAGAGTATTGAGCCTGACCAAACTGACTTATGCCCCTTGTACTGTAAATCAGTCAGGCTGATTCTGATAAAAGGTTGGTTTGGAAAAGGAGGTCAGCCTGCTCTGACAAAGATTTCGTTCTAAGGTTGCTCCAGCATTAGGGGTTTATTTCACTAAAACTAAGGGATTGAGCCCAACTCCATAACCCTCCATAACCTTACTCTTCACGCAGTGCAGTCAGGCAAGTACTGTTCACCTGGTAACTACTAATTTCAGACTTACTAGATTGCTAAATTGAGACACATGATTATTCACTCCAATGTGTGTATCCACTGTCCTGGAATCCTCAGGATGTGGGTTTTAATAGCCAAGCAAACGAGATTTAGAATCTGTGGCACATTATAAATCTGAGAATATTCCAATGGAAACAGTTTAGGGGAAAGAGGGACATTCAGCAGTAATCATGAATTAAATGGGTGAAGCAGCACCTATCATCAACGTTTGGTTTTATCCAGGCACTGCAGACACCTTTAGAAAAAAGAACAACTTGTAACGCTTCTAGTGGGAAAAAAAATATTCACCCATCTCCCTAGTTACATAAATAGAGATCAATGAATTTCACTCAGTCGGCACTTTATTTTTATATCTTTGTAGGGCGAACAGTCATCGTACAGCCCTTACTGCTTCGTATTCAGGCCTGTTCTACCTGAACAGCATGTGTTCCCCCTTACTTACAACAATGGAAAGTAGACAGAGTCAAACAAATTACAGACACTTTGGTTAACAGAAACATTTTATGAATAAACCTTGAGAAAGAATCTGGCTTGTTTTGGGAAGAAGCTATGTCTGGTCAAGAACCACCCTCACACAGGGGAATTGCTTGGCCTTTTAGGTCAAACAGACTGAGTGAAAACTTTTAAAGTGAGTAAATATGATAAATTAATATATCAAATAAGAGATCTAAATTTTCCGACCACATGCTATTGCTGTTCCTCTTTCAGAGATGAAATGGTGCAGCTATGTGTGCAGTGTTGAAAAACACTGTCATGGTTTTTCCCCGCGTCCGTTAATTCGAGTGCAGGTAACATAACTGAGATGGAGTGTTATAAAAAAATCTGGAGAACAAAGCTTTGATTCACCTTTGCAAAGGGAGAGGAGCATGAGCAGCATGACCCCCCCTGCATTACCGGCTCTTTTTTTTATCTTCATAGGGGAATATCTTACAGTTTCACACAGACAGTCCCACGGAATGATCATACTCCCTACTTCCTATCTCCATGTATGGAGTTTCTTCTTCCTTTCCGCTTCTACCTTGTTAATCAGCTTTTTCTCTGTGTGTGCGAGCAAGGTCATTCTACCCTCTTATCTACAGATTTCATCCTCCCCTCTGAGAGCTTTGGCCTAACACCTGGGAATAGTAAATTTGCTGCCAATCCTTAGATTATACATGGCATATACTTCTTTAATATGAACAATAAGTTTTGCTGCAGCTTTAACTTAGCTCTTTACTTCTTTTAGCTTAAAACATGCATAAATATCTTCAGTATCCTCCTGTGCTGCCATTAGGTTTTGCTGTGGACCCAATAGCTCATGCTTTCATCACAGCATATGTGTAAACCAAAATACTGCAACGTGATTTGCCGACCCATTTTGACTCAGTCCCATTGGGTGAAGCAGGATAGGGACACGATGGATTCTCATGTGTTTGTAAACTCACCAATCCTGATAGAATTCAGCTTGCAGGCAGGGTTAGTGTTAGTGCCTATGGAAAAACATTCCAAACCACTGCTCTAAGCTAATCTGAAGGCCGCATGACATCCGGGAGTCTGCATTTATCAACTCATTCAAAGTTGGTAATCTCTTGGTATGTTCCCAGCTGCCACAACCTTCTCAGTTAAAACACCAATTGGAGAAACATATTAACTTAACATGTTTATAGGATGATACAACATGCATGCTTTGAGTCTTACAAGAAAGCTGAGAGAACGTGGAGAGAACGCACAGAAGGTACATTCAAAGGATGCAGAAAGATCCCAGGTAAAATTCCTTGACTTACTTGCTGGAAGGCAGAGTCAGAGAGTCAGAAAGGTTTTGAAATGTTTGAAAACTTCTAAATCTTATTTGAAACAGAAAAAATAGAAGTTGATATTTATTGTAAAATGTTTACCTTATAATTTGAGAAACTAAAAAAAAGCAAACATAAAACTTTTCCTTTTTAATTTCTTTGCTTTATTTGAGTTTAAGATTTTATATTTTCAGATTTAAATCCATTTCTTTCTGTTTTGTTATTTTTTTTTTTTGTTTAAAATTCCTTTTTTGGTGTCAGCTTTTTTTTAATCTGTTTTTCACACTCAGATTTTGACCCCAGTCTCACAATGGTGGGCGGGGAAACGTGATTGACAGCTTGAAGCAGCGCTGGAAAGATGGCCCTTTCCATGTTGCATTCAGGTACTGTGGAAGCTCCAACTACTTAGTAAACAAATTATCTGCAGCATTTATTTGCCTTTTTGGCAAAATACTATGTTTGAAAATAGAGAGCCATTGTATAAACCACAATAAATAATAGTAAATTCTGTGTCCATTCACAGAAAAATGGCGTATAGACCGAGTGGTTTGAGTGGCACTGCTAATCAGGTAAGTTTAATCTTTTTTGCAAACTACATTGTCACACTCATAAATAATGCAATGAAGATTAAAACCGATAAAGATGTTAAGGCAAATACGCTCCTGGCAATATATTATTTAGTGAACCTTCCCAAAAACTCATTTCAGGGAGATGCTTATCGATACTTCCACAGTGGAGAGGAAAAACTCCCTTTTAACAGGAAGAAACCTCCAGCAGAACCAGGCTCAGTGTGAGCGGCCATCTGCCGAGGCCGACTGGGGTTCAAGGAGACAGAAGCAGAGATACAAAATGCAGCTGTAAAATGCGGCCCCGTCCAGGAAACACACAGCCAGCCATGTTGGAGGATGAAGAGAGCACATCCAGCCAGTCACAGTCAGAAAAACAGGACTTCACTGAAAAACAGGCAGATCTTAACATCTATAAACAAAGGTGATGATGGCAACATTACAGCTTATATTTCTCTCCATAATACATCGGGTAACAGCCCAGAAACAAACAGGCAAACAGAGCAAAACAGGGGTGACCAAAACTCAGAAGTCCGTGGACAGAAGCAGGTCATGAACAGGCAGAATGAAACACAGGTATAAGCGAGATGGTAAGTGGGACTGAAAATGGTCTGAGAATGAGTGAGGAGGTGAGCAAAAGTTTGTTTGCTTGTGGGAGAGAGAAGCTAGGTCGGGAGCTAATTGAAGGGAATCTTAAAATGACTGATTTCTGAGAAAGGGACATCTCATAGGTGGTACAGGTGTAGCTGATAAGTCTCCCAGACTGAATTTTCGCTTAAGCTTCAGTACCAGAAAAATGCTTAAGGAAAATATAGTACTTGGGCATTACAGGATAAAAATCGATTGAAGAACAATATTAATACTCTAAAAGTTAAAATCTCATCACACAGAAGTGTTATGTCAGTAGAACAGGCGCTTGATTTTAGATATTACACAAAAAAATTTTTTTTTGATTCCAAAGAGAAATGAAAAAACTGCCAAAATGTTCTGTTTTGTGCTGTAATTTTTCTTTAGAATTTGAAAGGGATGAAAAGGTTCAAGTCATGTTTATGAATGTTTATAGGCCTCTGAAGTCCAAAACAATTTTTAAGGTTTTTAATGAACTTTTACCTTTGACATGTGTTGAACACGACTCCTTAATTCTTGTGACAGACTTAATGCACATGTTGAATACCCTGAAGACAGAAGTGTAAAAGAACTTTGTGATATACTTAAAAATGTTGGACGCCGGTGGTGGACCAAATACTCAACTACAGGTTCGATTGGCTTTTATTCTATTTTGAATTTATAGCCCCCCCCCCCCAAAGGAAAACTCCACCAGCTGCCACCATGTTTCAAAATTGGCATGCCAGATATCACTTTTTGCTTTCACTGTCACTCCAATTCTCTCTGCTGGAACTGAGGTAGGCATCGTGATGCAATTATGATTAGGATGTATCCTAATAAGATAAACCCCAAATCTGACTAATTTTACAAGGGACATTTACTCCCTCGGAGGATGAAGCTTCAATGCTTTTCTCTAAAGGTAGAAGACCAATCACCTGGCAAAGGAAGCTCAAGCATAGGATCTGGTACTTCTCAGTCATGATGTAGAATGTTGCACTTAAGTTTTGATTGGATAAAGCGTCACCTTTATTGCTCAGCTCGCTTTGACCCATTTAGCATTTTTTAAATTGGGAAATATTAAACTAAGATCAGCTGTATTGAGTCTTTTTTTTTTTTTTTTTTTTTTTTTTTTTCTTTACCAAGATGTACCTTCTAAATGGTAAGATTTTTATCTGTAGCATCTATAGTAATAAACAAAAACTATTAAAGTTGTGATTCACCAAGGCCAGTTCCTCATTTACTGTCCAAATGGGTCAATATTGGAGCAAAACTGATGCAGATGAAGATCTTGATGGTCTCTTTGTGACAAACCATGAATGAACAGATATACAAATAATAAGATGTTGAAGACGTTTCACTTCCTATCCAGGAACCTTTTTCAATTCAAAGTGTGGAAAAACCTTCCCGGAGGGGAAGTATAATGTCTTCAAACTTAAAAAAAAAAATGTTCACCCACATGTCTAAACTGCTGTAAGTTTAATGAGATACCGTATAGGATTCAACCAGCAGTTTCATCATGACTTTCATAATTAAAAAAAGACAAACACACAGAGTTTCTAATATTATTTTTATTAAAGACTGTAGGGAATATACAAGTTTCCTCTGACAATATCAAAATAAAAGATAGCTGGAGCTAATGTATAAACAGAGCTATGATGTGTCTCTTCCTCATCTTCTTACATCCTGAAGACAGTTTAGTGTCTTTCGATGTTGCAGACTCAAACACAACATCTGTTCACATGGAGAAACATCTGTTATCCTTCAGACAAGAAGATAAAAGTTTAGAAACCTCACCTGAACAGCTGATAATTACCACACCATCTTTAAAGGAGGGGAATAAAAAAAAAACTGTTACCATATAACACTGATGCTGAGCAGTTCACAGATCATCATCTTCACAAATTTTAAGAAACAAATGAGTTTTTTCCAGGTCTTATTTGAATAAAACTGAGCCCACAAAGAGAAATCTACAGCTAATTCTAGGTACGTTCAGATTAAACTACACCTGAAGATGTGGAAAATTATACAAGGGCAAAGTTGGGTTAAAAGAAGAGGAAAATATTGCAAAAATCTGCCATTTTTAGTTTCATCTTCTGCTACAGCTACTTTACAGAATACCACCAGATGGTGGCAATAGATGTTCAACTGTTTGCCAAAGCAGGCTAGAATAACAAGCTGTACAGTGCTGATAAAAATGAGCACCCACTTACAGATTTCCTCCTGTTTTATCATATTTAAAGGATTTCTATCATGAAACAAATGTGAGAGAAATGTAACCTGAGTAAACAAAGAAAGCACTTATAAAAGATGATTTCATTTCCTAAAAGGAAATAACCTATCTAAACATAACCGGCTGTATTAGAAAAAAAAAAGAATTATTACACGATAAATTCACTGGCTGTGTCTAAATATGCAGCAACGTCTGTCATCAGGTAATTCTGCTGTTAATGAGACATAACATAAAGTGTGTGGAGGAAGTTTGACCCACTCTGCTTAGCTGAGATAATTTAACTTCAGTCCCATTGCAGGATTTTCTAGCATTAGTGGCCTGTTTAAAGTCAGGTGTGACTTGATCAATTATAGACCTATGTATAATCTTCCTATCTTATCTTAAGTGTGAGATCCCCTATACCATAATTAATTTTTCAGAAAGTTTCAATCAGGTTTCCGGGCTGATCAAAGCACTGAAACAGCTCTGGTAAAAGTCACTAATGATATTCTCATATCCTCAGATAATGGACTTTTATCAGTACTTGTCCTGTTAGATCTCATTGCTGCATTTGATATAGTTGATCATAATATTCTTTTAGAAAGGCTTAAACATTTAGTGGGAATTGGTTGAGCAGCGCTGGGCTTTTTAAAATATTATTTGTCTGACAGCTTTCAGTTTGTTCATGTTAAAAATAAATCTTCCTAATCCTCCTGGGTTACCTTGGGAGTACCACAGGGTCAGAGGCAAATCCTGATTAAACTAACCCATTACATAGATTGCAGGCATGTCTTGAAGACATAAAAACCTGGATGACTCTAAACTGTCTGTTTCTGAATGCAGATAAAATACTAATAGTCTTTGGACCAAAATCTTTGAAAAAGAAACTGACTAGTCAGT